TAGGCCCTGTGGAGACTTAAGGGCCTGGAGTTCATCTTGTGTTTTCAAGGCATAAAAACAGGCCGGTGTGTGGCGTTCAATGGGACCCACAAGACCTGTGAGATCCGGAGTTGGTGCCCGGTGGAGAGTGGCACAGTGCCCACGTAAGCATCCACTCCACCCCCAGAGCAGGACCCCAAGCCTGGCAGAGGCCCTCACCTCCCTTCCCCTCCCCCCACTCAGGAAGCCCCTACTGATGCAGGCCCAGAACTTCACTCTGTTCATCAAAAACACTGTCACCTTCAGCAAGTTCAATTTCTCCAGGTAAGCAGGGGCAGGGACCAGCTGGCCCCAGACTTTCCCTGTCCTCTGCCTTGTCTGACATCACCTGCCTGGCCCCTTCTAGGTCCAATGCCTTGGAGACCTGGGACCCCACCTACTTCAAGCACTGCCGCTATGATCCACGCTCCAGTCCCTACTGCCCCGTGTTCCGCATTGGGGACCTTGTGGCCACAGCTGGAGGGACCTTTGAGGACCTGGCGTTGCTCGTAGGTCCTAGGGCAGAGGGTTAGGCTTCCCGGAGGACTCTGGGAGAGGGTTTTAGGCCCAAGCCACTGGTGGAGCAGTGGTGTACTGTGTGCAGGGCGGCTCTGTGGGCATTAGTGTCTGCTGGGATTGCGACCTGGACACTGGGGGCTCTGACTGCCAGCCCCACTACTCCTTCCAGCTGCAGCAGAGGAGCTACAACTTCAGGTGAGGCCCTCACTGTCCCCTGTGCCTGGCTGCCGTACTTTGGCAAGCTTGTCCCCTCCACCTGTCTCCCCTGGTGGGCAGGAGAGAACTACACCTGGGCCCAGACCTCAGCATACCCCACTGTGTGTGCAAGTGGGGGGTGCCAAGGGCAGGAGGGGTGTTCTCAGCCCTGCATCCCCAGCACAGGCTCTGTCCACCTCCCCACCTCAGCCATGAACCCCCCTCCCCATCATCTTCTCCCCACCTGCCTCTCCTCCACTCCACCCTACCTCCGCCACCTGCCCTGCACACATGGGAGGAGGCCTTTCATTTTTACCTTCCCCTTCAGGTTTTACCTCAAAAAATTAAAAAATGGATGTAAAAGTTCAAAGATTAGTACCATGAACACCTATATACCCTTCACCTGGCTTCACCAGACTTTATTTTACTGTTTGGCCGTGTTTGCTTTTTCCCTTGTGCAGAGTGAGCTGATAGATAGACTTAGTTTTCCAATGGAATTGAGCGTAGGTGCAAAACACCTGGACACTCACCCTTCTCAACACTGTCCTGAGAACAAGGACTTTCCCTTTGTGACTCCCATCCTATTGTTACCCTCAAGAAATTGACCATGTTGAGGCTGGGCGAGGGGGCTCACACCTGTACTCTCAGCCCTCTGAGCCCTCCTCCCGGCTTGAGCTGAGAAGTTTGAGACCAGCTTGAGCAAGAGTGAGATCCTGTCTCTACTAAAAATAAAAAAACTAGCTGGGTGTTGTAGTGGGTACTTGTAGTCCCAGCTACTCAGGAGACTGAGGCAAGAGGATCGCTGGATCCCAAGAGTTTGAGGATGCTGTGAGCTGTGATGATGCCATGACACTCTATCCAGAGAAACAGAGTGAGGCTTTGTCTTAAGAAAAAAGAAAATAAATTGACCGTGGGCAGAATAAATCTAATATTTAAATTTCCCCAGCTGTGTTAGTCATGGCACAAAATCATTGTACTTTTCCAATCCAGAATCTTATTTATTTTTTTTTGTAGAGACAGAGTCTCACTATGTCACCTTCTGTAGAGTGCTGTACTGTCACAGATCATAGCAACCTCAAACTCTTGGGCTTAAGTGATTCTCTTGCCTCAGCCTCCTGAGTAACGGGGACTACAGGCGCCAGCCACAACACCCAGCTATTTTT